GACCGTCAAAACAGCTCGGAATTAGAGAGCAAAATACCCTAATGCCATATTTTAAGTTTGTTCTTCAATTAATAAATATCACACCTATGAAATAAGGCAAATCGATTTTTTACAATTCAATTTTGATGATACGAAAACCTATAAAAACTTGTTACATGTACTATGAAAATATGACTGCATGACACTAAACAGGTGGGTATAGAGAGTCAGTTGTTCTCTCGCAAAAGCTAAAGAATTGATCACGGAAAAGTTCTCCCTACTAGAACTATAAGGAAACGTACGAGAAACGGTAATGAGATCTTGTTAATAAATCATCCACGACTAGCAGCGTTGTGAATTTAGTTCTCACTTATTGATTATTATTTTACATTTTGTTAATCTCACTCTGTAAATTCAAGGGAACCTCTGATGTTGAAGAGGAAGGAATTTGCAGTTTCATTACCATCACCTATCGCGTTTGTTATATTATAATTAATGACCGTTGCCATCATTTCTGGAGAAAATGCAATCAATTAAGGATTTTTTTTTTGCCAAGTGCCATGCGCCATGTTTCACCAAAATAACTAATTTATGACCATTACTAATTTATGACTATTATAACTAATTTATGACCATTATAATAAAATTATAATTTTAACAATTAGGAACCATGGGAACGGTTCATTGCCACAAGTCCGAATGGGGAGGACTTTTTCCCATTAATTAACTGCTCTTGAATAAACGATTACTAAAAACGTCTTACCTTTGGCTAAATATTTTTAAGATAAACAACTTTTACTATCGTAGAATCAAGTTAGCTATTTTATGGCAAACAGCCCTTGTCACAGAGGTTCCCTTGAAATTAACTGCGAAACATTCCAACAGAGCTTGAACGTACAAAATGTTTGGAAAAATTCAAACTTTGTGTGACACCAAAACATCACACGATAATTTCACATACTAGACCTGATCTATACAATATCCACATTTCTTGCCTATGCCGCTTTGTGAAACAAAGCAGTTGTATTTAACTTCTTAAAATAAAAGCAAAAACAATTTAAATAAGGAATGCATTGATATACAATGAACAAAGAGCGGTGATATAGGTGGACCTACGTCACTAAATACACGTCATAAGCTAATAAGACAATAGCTACGAATTAGCAGTAAATGAAATTTTTGAACTTTTCTTTGTGAAATAACATTGCAAATCGGTCAGTGTAAAACGCAGACAGCGGACTGCAGACCGGGAGTAAAATGCAGTCTACAGACTGTAGACTTTTTAACTAAATCGTGTTACCGTTTCCATCAATGAGAGCTAACCGTGAACAGGCTAACACGGAGCGTTATTTGGGCTAACCTGAGTGATGTTTAGGAGCTTTCAGGCTAACCGAAGTGATATTCAGGCTAACCGGAGTGCAGACTTTCAATACGATTAGGCTGAATAACCCTGTTTACGGTTAGCAATCGATAATGGAAATAACACGATATATAATTCCGAATCAAAGGTGTAAGTAGAACCAAGTCTCTCCACAGTGCACCTCCGAACTTAAAATAACGCAAGGCTATTTAAATATTAGTTGAATGTTTCACTTCAACTATTTCATTTTCTTCCAATAATGAGAAGCATATTTAATATCTCGTGAGATTCAGAAAACAGAATTTTCATTCACTATGTTAGCTCTCCTAAAAACGCGTTGATATCAAAACAAATAAGGACTCAACCTGGTCAGCAAGGTAATCAAACTGTCACCAGTCCTTATTTACGATGGTCATTAATGTTACGACTTGAAAGGTACAGTGTACTGGGGAACATTTGACTACTATGCTCACTTCTGACAAAGGCGATAGCAGCTCAATTACATTGCTACGTATTTCCGTGATTGCCCCTTGGAAAATTTTCGCAAAATGTAACACGTTTTCTCTGCCAAATCGCGAAATCTAAGTCTCGCGAAATTTGCGCCTTCCACTCTCGCGAAATTACGTACTAGCGATAAATAAGTAACAATACCACCCAAAAGAGAGAAAACCGACCCGTGGCCATCCTTGAAGTTATCCTCTCCATATGGCAAACGTCAAACAATGCTTGCTCTCTGAGAATTTTCCTTGTTACGATTTGTCGAAATTTCTTCATCTGAATCCGAGTCTACTTCGCTGACCATCACATGGTACCTAACAAAGACAAGGTGTTAATAATGATACAGTAATAAAATTCATGGACTGACCGAGTGGTTAATTTTTAAATCGGCTACTGTAGGATACTTAAAGTAGCTCAGTCACGGTATTATTTTGAGTTATTTTGGCCACGTACAAAATTACCTTTAAATAGAAGGAAACCTGAAAATAGTGGTTTACTAAGATAGAAAAACACTTAAGAGATAATAATAAACCACAAAGGAACAAGGATGGTTAAGGATGGAGAAGAATAACACGGATTACAAACGACGAACTTGAAAAAAAAAAAACTTTTCAAGATGCCAAACTGTAACGTAGCGCCTGTTGCATCAAATTGTATGAAATCAAAACAAAAGGTCTCTCGAGTCATTTTACTGTTTTACAAAGAGCATCAAAATATCAAGTGGTTTCTCGTAACTGTGTCCAGAGAGGTTCCTGATAGTGTCCTATGGCTAGGTTCCCCTCTTCTCTTGTTAACTTTACGACAGCTACCCTCCTTTACTACAACTAAGCTCTTATCAAATAGTGCCGATAAAACGCCTGTCCACCAAATTGACCAGATAATTCAACATTGAGTTAGAGGGTAGAGAGCAGGGAATTTTTCCACTATGTCTGTCTAATATGACAATAACTTTACTGTCAGCATTCTTACTTAATTGTCCTGGACAGCCACTTGCAGTTTGAGTTGTCCCAAACTAACGTGCAGATACCAGGACAGGGTGGAGCATAAAAACTGAAATACAAATTGACAGGTGTTAAATGCTTTGAAAAAGTTCACTAGTGGCAAATGTCAGAAAGTTTGAAGTAACATAACAAACACGAAAGACCGTGTTTGACCACATTTTCAAACATCGAGAAGAGAGTTGAAAATACGACGCGTAGCAGAGTATTTTTGACGAACGTCGAGGTGTTTGGAAAAGTGGTCAAATACGGTCTTGACTGTTTGATATATCTTCTTAATCGAAACTAAAACTAAGGAGAAAACGGAGAAACAAAATCGTAAAAATCTAAGAAAATTAAGATCAGAAATCCAAACACCGTCACGGTCATGATTTCCTTTGTTTAAACTTGATAAATTATTAATGAGTTTGAGAATACCTTACCTGTATTAGACAAGACATGTTTACTGGGTTTAACAATGAGAGCCAATTCGGAGATGCCAGAATTAAAATCAGTTTAACACGTATCATTGAGACCCAAACAGACAGAGGTCAGACCAGGAATAGCTTTTAGGTTTGAATGTTCTACACTGGTGAAGGGCTATGACCAAAACGATTACACACCTCACAAAATGATAATTTTCTCCATTTTTCTAAAATTTAAAGTTCATGTCAAGTGTAATGTATCAACTGAGTAGAACAACTTTTGTTCATCCTCAGCATAATTACAGAAGGGGTTTACCAGTATGAGACAAATTGACAGATGCCAAAACTGTAATATGGTTTACCGATGAGAATCAAACAGACAGATGTCAAAGAGTAGGAATGGGTTATCCAAGAGCTTCTTTTGCTAGTTTAAGCCCTCATATATAAAAAAAACACTAACATTTGTTCTTGTAAGTGTAAACCTTTCTCATATTGAAATGTAATCTTACCCGGTAATTGCCGATTCACAGTCTGAAATAGCCTCAAGTTCTTCAACCCAAATCTCATTAACCTCAACATGATCTTTCCATCCCGAGTGAGGCTTGGGCTTGAACTTAATTCCAAACTGAATGTCCTTACTGTGAAAGAAGAAATTCCATGGCTTAATACCCTCTCATGAACAGTGGCCTTCATCAAAATGTCAACAAGCACAGTTGTCAAGGGTGGGCGGTTGTTGGCAAAAATCTCCATTTGCTAAGTTAAAAATATATTGCAGTACTTTAGAGAGGAAGTCACATCAGCCTTAGCTGGTTTTCACGTGGGTCCTTGATCTTGGTTGAATCGGAATTTAGAATGTTAGTTTTTGTGGAGGGAGAAAAATCGGATTACCCAGAGAAAAACACTTGGAGCAAGGCGAGAACCAACAACAAACTCAACCCACATATGACACCGGGCTGGAATAGAACCCGAGCCACAATGGTGGGAGGTGAGCGTTCTCACCACTGTGCCATCCCTGCTCCCCTCATCTGATTCTTCATAAAAAATTGCAAATTCAGCCACCTAGTCCAACAAGCAAAATGTCTATACTTCAAAAACTTTGTGCCAACCCTGAGTTTTTGGTGTTGCAGTTGAAGTAGTTCTGAGTCAATTACCTTGTAGCTTTAAAATACCATGCTATTGACAGGTCAGCCTTCTGGTTATCACAGTCTACAGTGTATGTAAATGTTTTCTTTGCTCCTGCAAGGAGTACAAAATGAATGACAGTTATAAAACTATAAAATCAGTCTTAACAAGGCCTATGAACAATTCTGAGAAAATACATTCAAAAAACAGAACTTTGGAGCTACTTGTACAGACCAGTATAAAAGCAACTTCATTTAAAATAGCAGTTGACAAAACAGTAGCCTGTATAATTTGTACAATGTTGTGACATCATGAAATACTAGTTATATGAAGGGAAGATTTGATTGAGGCTAATCGATTGTTGACTCACCTATTGTCTGTTCAGCAAGTTGAGGATTATCTTTTACTTCTAGCTACAAAAACAACCATCAAATAAAAAAGAGATTAACTTTAATACTATTTCTCAAAAGCTCTGATCTCTTCTTAACAAATTCAGGACATAAAATGGCTATCTGATGAAAATATCATGTAGTCAATGCATGTCATCAACAGATAAAGAGGTTTAATCTGTTTTATTTACAGACCAGAGGCCCATTTCTCCAAGGTCCCGAAAAGTTTTCGCACCTGGAAAGCCTTAGCAAAATCTCAAACCTTATGATAACAGAGCTGTTTTATTCACATATTCTTAATATGGACAGAGGTTCCATTCATACAAGAAGTTTCAGGCGTATACACCTCTCGGTTTTTATATACAGATTATCTAGAAATGGCTTTGCAGGCCCAACAAGTTTCTGGCCCAGCTTTTGAGACCGGGTCCCAGAGCAGAGGCAAGGTGGAGTTGCTCTTTTGGAAGATGGGATCCAGAGGAGGGTCCAAGACATTTCACTCTAAGGGGGCTTACTTGCAAAGGACAGCAGGAGTAGCTACACTTCTCCTAGCAAACTGCTCTGTGCTTCAGAAACAGGGATTAGCTCTGGCAGTGTGGACCTGTCTATGAGCAACTGTTCTCTACAGAGAGCACATGTGAAGGTAATGTTTTGTCCAAGAGTTCTACCCAAGATAAAAAATTGGCTGTGTCTAAATGCAGACCTCCACTGGCTCCAATATAACATCCACTGCGTCACCATTTATGGCTCTGCATGCAAAAGTCCTTAAATCATAGCATCCACCATGTGCATCATTTGAGAAGTGATAATTCCTCTGAAAAGTCAAAACTCACCATGTGTTTGGGTACCGGGGGTAGACAGCCATTCTCACATCGACATGTTCCACCAAACTCTTCAGGGAGATCCTCAGGGTCAAAATAGTCACAAAGTTTATGTAGTTCTGAGTTTTTAAGTACTACACATTTAGCTCTGGTCTTTGGGTCTACAAAAATCTTGGCGATTTTCCAAAGGACAGGAAAAACCCTACAAAAGAACAAGTAAAAGGAAACTGTATGAGAATAGTGGCAAACGATGCTAGGTAAATCCATAGCTAAAGTATATTAATATTGTTGTGAAGCCAATCCGGAGGCCTCATGTGCAATTTAGTTATGGCAAATGGTGTACGCACAGAAAAATGACATCGCATGATGAGTCCTGGCTGAATTATGGTGCAGTTACTTCTGTCCAATCTGTTGGTAGAGGTTTAAATTCATGTGATGACTTAGTAAATAGACTTCGAACATAGACTACAGACAAAATGGAGACCAACTGAGCAACAAAGATTGCAAGGCATCAATTTACTGCAGGTTAAAATTACATCAATATCTTAAGTCAAACTTCACAAAGGTCAGACACACATTCAATGCCACTTCTGCTTTTTGTAGTCTTGAAGTTTGTAAGAGTTTGAAGCAAAATTTGTTCAAGACTTAAGTAAGAAAATGCTATAAAACAGGCTGAGAAACATCAGCTTTATGCTGTTGTAACTGTAATCATTGTTGTTGACTGTTGTAATTTTGGGCTTGAAGCGGAAGGCTGGACCAACAGTGGAAACTGTGCACTCCATAAATTCGAGTGTCTACTGCTCCTTATAATTCACCACTAAATTTTCTCCAATAGTTACTGGTTCAAACCAGCCTATTTTGTGCCAGGAATATTAAATTGATCACATACAGTGTGATAGTGTTCGTTGGCAGAGACACTATCTGCCCATAGAACTTTGCCATCGAAATTTTTCTGTAAACAGGCTGTAACTTACAGGCTCTAACTTACCATGGAGTATTCACAATAAATATCTAGAAATCAAACAAATAAACACAACATAAATAATAAAAGTAAATTGTAAAACAAAACAATCAAAATAAAATAACAAAAACTCAAAGAAATCCAGAAAGAAACTAACTTGTCCTGTTTGCTTCAAAAGACAGTTCTTTTGAGAGTATTAATGCCAAATCTTCTCATCTTTCATAAATTGCCAAATGTATCTAATATTAACACACCTTGCCCATTCGTTCTGGGTAATAGTCTTGATCAAGTCTTGCCAATTTCTTGAATGCACTCAAAGCTTTCCTGTTTAATAATATACAAGCATAATAATGATAATATTATTATACAATTTAATAATATAATTAAACCCATCAAGATGCATAAAAGGAACCAATATTAATCCACTCTGGGAAAGGATGCTTTGATTCCTTTGATGCACCATGGTCCCAGCAGTAATCTTGGATGAATCTGTTTACTACAGAAACGTTAAATCCATTTTAGGATTTAAAAATCCAATTTTGGATTTCCCTAAAGAAATGCACCCATAGATTACAATTGACAAGAAAAACAATAGGTGTTTGCATGGCCATTTACTAAACAACACCCATGAATCAGATACTGGTTTACAAAAGACCACATCAACTCACACAAGATTCTTTGTGCAAAGTGCCAGGTACACTTGAAGAAACAAGAAATGAAAAACAACTGGTAACTAAATGCCATACGAAATTTACCTTAGTAGCATGGTTGCTCCAGCCATGTCATGAATATGTACCATAGTTTCTATAGGTTTTCCCTGTAACACAGTTTTAGTATTCTTTAAATGATGGTTTAAACATTCAACAGTGAACAAAGGGTGGACAAGGGTGGCAAAGATGGTGAGGGTGGAGAGGGTGGCAAAGGTGGCCAGGGTGAGGGCGGTGCAGGTTGCAAAGGTGGTGACTGTGGCAAGGGTGGTGGGCATGGCGAAGGCAGAGAAGGCGGTAAGGGTGTCCAGAGGGTGGCAAAGGCAGCCAGGGTGGCCAGGGTAGCCAACGTGGTAAGGGTAACCAGGGTGTAAGTGCTTATCATTTTATACTTTTCATAAGCTGGATAAAATGTTTGTAAACACAGACAATTCTGATGAAAATCTTTCAAGAATTTTCCAGGATCCTTGAGGATCTTCATAAGGATCACACTTACAAATTTCTTGGATAGTTCAGTCATTCTTTGTATTTGTTTTTCATTATTCCAAATGTGCCAGCCAATAAACTGGTCTGCAGGTAGCTGGAGTGGGAAAAATAAAACAAAACTGTCAATTTTTTAACAAAGAGAGAGATCAGTAATCTCGGATTTTTGTTTTTCTGGTTTGAATCCCCTTCATCCCACTGAACGATTTAATTAGCTTTCACCCCCTCCAACCCTCTAAAAATTACACTCTGGCTGCAAACCTTTCTTTAAAATTCCCAGCTCATAAGAACACCCTCCCCATCAGAATTTCCAGATGTTATGCAGAGGGTAAGGAAGGGTATTTTCTGGAACTGCATGTATTATTCTGTTATATGGGATCTTGCAAAGCACTTGATTACAAAAGAAACTTCTGGACAGGTATGTGGAACAATGGGAACAAAGAATTCAAAGATCAGAATGACCACAAAATCAGTGACCCTGGATGTTGCCTGCAGAGCCAGCTGTTGGCAAATCTCAGTGTCTGAAAGTGAGCTTATCACTGGCTCTAATTTGACAATGAAAACAGAGATCTGCAGTAAATTTGAGGGTCAACATTTCTGGCTAGGTTTCCATAATGGGCTTATTAATACATATAAGCTTTTAGTTTGAGTGCCAACAAAGCAATTGAGAGACAGGAATCCTGTAGTAAACTGAGTCAAAAATGTATTTGTTCTGCATTATTTGTCTCTTCTTCCTTAGCAATTCTTGATCAATTTACATCAAAAAACATACATGTAAGAACTGATTTAGTAAGAACATTGACCAACCTTTAATAGTGCCATTATATCCATTCTTCCTGTGTGTTCAATGTAACAAGGCCTTCCCAGTTTATCATGTTTGTGAAAACCGCAAGCTACAATCTTCGATACAAATGAAAGAAAATTTGATAAGATGAAGCCAAAGAATATGAGACAACACGTGTGTTAGTATGTACATGCAAGCAAGAAAGCAAGCAAGCAGGTAAAGACATTATACAATTAAAGGAGTTAAACAATGCAACTCAGTTTCTAAATGGTTACAAAATACTAGAAGCTATACAGTAGTCATCATTTTTCTATACCATATGCATACACATAAGGTACAGTCTGTATACAAGCCAAGTGGCCCATCAGGCTGGAGCTTATCCTGGTTTCAGTAGCATGAAGCGACCAGGAGTATTTCTACTCCACCCTGGATGGAATGCTAGTCCATCACAGGGCTACCCCCAGCATTAAGTTCACCAGTATCCATTTGTACACCTGGGTGGAGAGAGGCACTGTAAGAGTAAAGTGTCTTGCTCAAGAACACAACATGAGGCCACCGTGCCTCCACCATATATGAGCTGAGCGAAATGTTCGCGAAAATCTTGCAAGGGTTTTCAAGGACACTTAAGGATTTTGATGAGGATCTTATCAGGGATCTCATCAAGATCAAACTCAAAAATCCTCCCCAAGAATCTTAATAGAAGTAATTTATTATACCTTTTTTTGATCTACGATACATTATAGTTCTTTATTTTACCTACCTTTCTTACTTCCTTGTCAAAGGGTCTCTGTTAATAGCAAGGAAATGATAATGGTTGTTATAAGGTTCCAAAAAAATCACTGATACATGTAATATAATTTAAATTAACCGTATAATTTTGACTCATAAGAAACAATAGCAATAAACCATTATCATAGAGCATTGACACAGTTGATCCGGAATTCCAGAATATTTTTTTTCTTTTTTTCATTACTCAGAGGTGTCAGTCAGAACCAAAGGCTTGCAGCAACAATTTAATCAAGAAGACTTGTACGTCAACAAAAATCAAGACAACTTTATAGACCTGCACATTGACCATGAGCTTAAATGTATATCTGTTAACTGCTTTGGTCCCAGCCATCTTGTTATTAAACCATACAGGTTCTTACATGTGATCAAGTTACAGTAAAATTATGATGTTTACATTTAAACCAAGGAGTGTGACTTTGAGATTGCAAATTTATATTACAAGAAAAGAAACAACACAGGACTCTGTGAAAAAATTCAGGGACCAACCCAGGTTTAGTTATTTTTCGGGTAATCAACAACCAGATCTCCTTTATCAAAATTAAGAGCCACTTAGCCTTAAGTGGCCATAACTACCATCCACCCCACCCCACCTCCCCTCCACCACCAAAAAAGAGCCTCTTTTGCCAGATTTTAAAGTAGGTTCTTACTGTATCAACAAAACACTATGTAACAAGAACACTTACATCATGGTCGAGGATACGATCAATGTCATTGTTTAGTCGCCATTCTTTTGCTTGTGTGTATTGACTAAGAGTGAAAGGAGAAGCGATCACATTTTAAAAGTACGTATGTTTAATTTGTTCAGACCTCATTTCCATTATGTATTGTAATGATAATCTAATTAGCTCTCTGTATTGCAGGCCTTGATGATCTTCTAAAAAAATTCAACTGGCATACCTGTAAGCTTCTTTAGAATCAAAACTGCGAGCCCGAAGAAATCTCAGAAGAGTGGCCTAGAATAGAAATAGCAATTGTAAAGAATTGTCTGCTATAAAGTTTAACGGAAAGATGTGCACCTCTTGAAACTATTGCACTATGACTGGACCAAGAAGTATAGAAGCCTATATAGGCAAATCTTTGCTGACATCATATATATTATTGTTTACATTTTTCCTAACATTAGCATACCACTTAGCATGAAGAAGACATCCTGCCAGACACAAATGGACCACAAACATTTAAAGAGCCTGTGAAGCTTAGTGACTGGTGAAATTGTTGGCTCTTGGGGTGTAATATTTAAGGAGAAATTGGCTTTTAAAACTGCAAAATTTCTGGGTGTCAAAAGCACTAATGAGTTTTTTAACCCGCATCACACAAAAAGTATTCACTACATCGGGCTCAAATTCTTTNGGGGGGGGGGGGATTCTCTTAGTTTTGCTGCCTCTGATTTTCAGTACCATCTGGTACAGTGAAAGTGTAAACAGGTCTGGGTATTTTTTGCAAAAATCCTGGCAGTGCTCCAAGCTACTGTACCTCAGTTCTATTAGTGGCAAATAGCAAGTGTTCCCATCAATTTTTGAAAGAGCAGTTTATTTTTTACCCCACAAAAATCAATCAAAATGTTAGCACATTTGCTCCAATTTTCATTTGCCCAAAATACAGTGAATACTTGATTCATACAAGAATACTTGTAATAGGAGAATCTTTGTTTACAATATTTGCCTCATTAACATAATTAAGTGATACAGTTTCTGGTAGAGCTACAAAAACATTAGTTCTTAACGTTGAAAGGGCACAGCACAATCAACTGTCCCACCCAGGAAAAAAATTTCTGAGACTTCATGACTCATATCCCACAGGCTTCTACATGTAAGATTTTGAGACTGGATCCAAAGTGTCTGAGAACCAAGATTTTCTAGGCAGCATTTCCAATCCTAGGAGTGTAAACTGACTGTGCACTTTCCCTTGATATTGGCCTCACTCCTTTTTTGCATGCTTACAGTGTCTTAGACCATAAACATGCAAAAACAAAACAAAAAGAATGAGGCCAATATCCCGCCATCTTGACCGATCAAGCTTGGTCAATAGCCCATATCTATAGCCATTTAATCTACAGCTGTTACATATAAGAACCACAAAGGAAAAATATATTTCCAACCTTTTTACTAACAAAAGAACAATTTAAATTTACTGATTCACAAATACATAGTAAGACTAAAAAATTATTAATTGTGTTAAATTTATTTATTAATTTTTCCTTTTTAGTAATTTCTCTTCTTAGAAAAAAAAATCATTCAGTAAAACATTAAGAGATGTCATAATTAACTCAAAAACTCATGGTCCAAACCTTTAATTCAAGTAGCAATCTTAAATAACATTTCCTGATTTTGACAAAATTATTCAGAATTACTGACTTCCACATGACCATGAATTTAAGGTTCATTCCTGACTTTTTCCTGACCTGCCACAACCCTCACTTAACCTGCTCAAACATGCATGCACCGGTTTTTATACTCTGTTCATATTTACATTTCCATGGTCAAGTTTCCTTTCCCATTATTAGATTAACTTTCCCTGACTTTGTTGACAAAGCTTTGAAAGTCCACTGATCAATAATGAATCATTAAAAAATTTGCTGATTAATACATAAAATCTTTGCATGATGATGATTTTGAATTTTCAAGTCCTATTTACATATGTCAGGTGATTTTTAGTGCAATTTTTGTTGAGATTTTCCACCGCAAGTTTGGTCGTGCTAAGACAGCACCTTGAAATCAGGCGTGTAAATCCGCTGCAATTTCAGCAATTAGTGAGTTCAGGGTGATATAGCCAGAAATTTCCAACTTACGACAAAAAAATATTTAATAATAATCCCTGTGTACACCCTGGCCTTTTTTTCATGCTCAGATACAAAACTGCTCTTAATTCAGTTTATAAAATTTCACAGATATTCTTCTTTCTAGTGATATTGTGTTGTTGCAAGATGCAGCTGGTTGCCGTGCAGCCTGCAAAACACACAAATATTAACAGCTTTTGTTTCACTCAGCCAAAATAATATTGGTGGAGTGAACAGAAAGTCAGAAATCTGTCTGCATTCACAGGCTAGTTGAAGTGCAAACATGACAAAACGTTCAGCAGAAATCATAACAAAAATTGGACCAGAAATGGCCTGTGTAGATAGGCCTAAAACTTTGATGTCTGCAAAACCCATTGAAGTAATAAATATGATATTAACGCAACAGACAGCAATGCGACTCTCTATTTTCAGCAGCTACCAAGTAAGAAACCTTTTAAAAAACATGTCATGGAAAAGGTCACTGTTGTTCATCATGGTAGCGCATAACAGAAAAAAAATTCCATTGTTGAACCCTCAAGATTTAACAATGGAGAAAAGCAAGATTTTATAAACACTTGCTGGCTAATTAAACAAGAAGATTTTGATACTCTTTCAATCTTATTTTACAAATCAACATTATACAACCTGCAGATAAATAGCTAATAATATTTTCATATTAACAGAAAGATATCACAAAGCCAAAATCTTTTGCTGCCATTCTGAATTTTCAGAAGAAACTTTTCATCTACATCATCTCCAAGGTTTCGTAACTAAGCCAGCGACATCTTAAATAATGGATATGTATGTTTTGCATAATTCCTTGAAACGGAGAGAAGACCAAAATGAATTCAAATGGACACATTTTGACAAACAGTGATGTTAACTCCCCTTTTCTCTTTATTAATTCTTTTATAATTTATTGTCTCCATTGACAACTTAAACTGGACAAAAAATGACATAACAAAGTGTAGAAGTGCAATTATATATGCAAGAAAACATTGATTAAAAACATTATTAAGCTTAAAAACAATAACATTTTATCAAGAAGTCCCGGTGGACTGTCATGAACATTGTAATTTACACAAATGTCACGTTGAACAATTTACATGTATGCAACCCCCCTTGCTAGAAATGTTTGGTTCAAAGATAAATATTTGCCCACTGCCAGTCTAAGAAGTTATTTCCATAAAAGTAACTTAACACCCACTTGCAGGACGCGATATTAAAACGTGCCATGAATCAGATCTGCTCAGATGTTAATGTACGCCTACTGTATTTTTGAAAACCTTAACCCACACAAGATCCATGCGGTGTTTTGAATACAAACTTAAACTAACTTGAAATAAATGAAATTAAACATTTTCACGATCAAATTAATTACACCATTTTTTTTTCTCCATTCATTCTCCTATTTTGGAAGCATCATTTGCTCACGAAAAATCATGCACGGCCTCTCGATCTTAAACAAGCTGAAAGAAGCTAAAACCTTGTAAAGTCATCGAAGCGGAAATTGCTATTTTCAACCTTTAATTTTCCAGATCTTTCGAACGTCGTCCGGCCGCCTCTTAAGTCGGGCTACAATTTAATTTATATTACGTCGCATCGGCAATATAAACACCCAGAAGCCATCGGATGTTTAGAATCTGTTATTAAACAATACTCGGCAATTTACACTTCTCGCCAAACTTGTTTTAGTTAAGAGTGATACACATATAAGTAATCGATCGTAAATTGTCGATTCCGTTGACATGTCCTCGTTAACACGTACGATTTAGCGATCTTCACGGCTTACCTCATCCGTTGTTGTCTCTGCTGTTAACATCTTTTTAAGTTCCCCAAGGGACTTTTCCTGAATGGAAGATAAGTCGCCCAAATATCCACTCATCGCAATCGGTCCGCTGCAAAGTTGATGAAGTTTTCCAAGGTTAGAAAAACCTGCAAAAACGGTAAATTATGCCTCGTCCAAGATAATTATACGACTCATGATAACGGGTGGTTGCCTGATAGACTACGTTATCTGTCTTAGCCGACCTCGACCCGCAGGGCTACCATTTGTGAATAATTTATCCAGTCACAACTCCTACAGAAAGGCAAACGTGCTTGTTTTGATGAGTGAGGGGTCAGTCCACACAAAACCCGCGCATTCCTGGGGTAAAGTAAAGAGAAGCCATATGTCATCAAACTTGAATAATTCACCACATCTCCAACATTAACAAAAACAAGCTCGTAGTTTAAATCAGTCTTAAAAAATATTTGAATAGTATTTGATGCTTTCTAAATACTTTTTATGTGGAAACTACAGGTGAAATATTTTAAATGCGAAGAAAGAGTTACTAAGATTACATTCTAAAGTCTCCCAACATCGTTTGGTGGCTAGACCAATTGGAACACGTGGCAGGGGTCGTCAATTTCCCGGATGTACTAACACTCCGTCGGCGAGCCATGAGTGTTCGAGGCGAAAAGGGTTTTAGAAGAAAAAGGGGTGATGTGATAGCGTTGGCAGGGAGCCGTTATTCGTCATGGATTTGAGTGTGTTGCTACTGTTTCTTCGAAAAAAGGATAGAAGGCTTAAATAAGCGTGATCTTGGAGAAAATATATTGTCGCGGAGGACAGAATCGTGGAGAAAAACATTGGTTTTGCACCACTGTCACGGTTCTCAAGCTTGCATTGTGTTTGGAAAGCACATTTCTCGCCTTTCTTCTCCATTCAAGGTTACAATCGTGAGAGATCGTGAAGTATGAGTGCTGAAGAAAGATCGGATAATTCTGGTCATACAGATGAGAGTGGGTAAGTTAAATAGCTAGCAAATTTGCGAGAAAAACAAAGTTGTAAGCTTCTTCAGAGCTTATTAAACTGTTGTTGGGGTTTATTGTGTATAAGCTTACATGTGTAAGTAAAATCGCCCGATGGCTTGTTTGGATGAAAAAACGTGACCAGAGTTTATAAACACAGCATCGGTTCAGCTAAACCTGACACTTTTTTTGATCGCTATACCTTGTCAAAAGCGGGAAAGAATGTGCCATTTGAGCGACAAGTTACTGTGAGCAGGTTGCAACTGATTGTGTTGTGGATTTCCCATGGGCTGGCTCAAGTGAGCCGCCGTGACCGCTTGTTCAATGTCATCTCTGTTTTCTTTGTTTTGATGGTATTTCTTTTTTAGAAAGACCACGTTAATCATACTCCCTTATATCTTGGAAAGCTAAAATGACTTAAGTCGCTTTGCGAACGTTGAGAACATTTGGGAATGATTTTCAGGGAAATCAATCTAAGCAACGTACTTGGCCGTAACGAGACGTGAATAAATTAAATTAATCGGCGGAACGGAAGGAAGGAAATATACGAATTTGCCCTTTAAATCTGACCGTAGATTTTGTTACATCCTTTGATTTGTCATTTGAATCATCAGGTCAATCTTTCTCGAGTTGAATTTTTGCCTATTTTCAGTAATTTATCGAAGTAACACGTGAGCTCCCACCCAGTTGAATAAAATTTTCAGCACGAAGCCTTGATCTGGGATCTGAGCTTATGCGAATATTTGGGTGTTTTCTTTTTTACGTGCAAGTTTTTCCCACTCGTGACAAATGCAATTATACAAATTAAACTACTTGAAATAACTGAGTGTACATTACTTTGTACAAGATAAAGTGAAAATTACTCTGGTCGTGACCTCATAGCAGCACTTACCATTGCTTTAGGGCTGACACGAAGTGTATTGTCGTGTAAAGTATTTTGCTGCAAATCAATCATGCATGTTAATGTCAACATAACAAATTATTTGGATGTAGTGTTCATAAATAGGCCTGGTTTGGGTACAATATTGTTGCATAGCCAAACATGTTAGAAATGACATTTGTACAATATTTCGAGAAATTCCCATTTCTGCAATGTTTGTCTACACCAACAAAATGGTGTTCAAAACCACAACCAGGCCTGTTACAATTTATCCTTGTGGAAATTTTTGTTAATTTTTCTATAATTTTTATGCACGCTTACTAACCTCTTAATGCCACAAAGGAAAAAAATTGCATAGAAATTATGTAGGGTTGTCAACAATATGAAAGTAATAAGGCAATTACTTTGGTTTTGGTTTTGGTTTAACTACAGTTTTAGATTGGGCAAGTAGACTAAAGAGGGTCAAAATTATTTCTGACCTTTCTTGTAGTCTTGAGAATTTTCCCCGACAATGGAGTTAGGCTTTCTTGTCGCAGACAACTGTGTCATCGAAAAACAACAGTGTGAAAATTAATATCTTGTTAAAATGCAGGATGAGAAGGCTTATTTTCTAGAAAACATGGCATTGATATTTTAAAATCTAATTAAGTGCTGTTTTTTTTCCTGCCTCTCCTTTCAGGTCTGATAGTAGTGAAGAGGATGTAAGTCTGAGTTAAATTATTTCTGTTTATTTTTTTATAATTTGTAGTTTATGTTTAGGTGTTGTTAAACTGTTAGCCAAGGCAATCTGACAAAATACTACATGGAGCATCACGCTGATCCTAGAGCCGTAGCTAGAAGAGCTAGGATCATATATTACTGTTTAATTCATCATGTTTTTTTAAGTAATGTTTTCTTGGAGAAGTGACTTTTTTGGTTGTCCTAATATCCTAGATGTCCGGGGAACACGTCATATCTTCCACAGAAGAATATCAACCTCCTTATTATGAACATATTGAAGAGAATGTGTATTTATTTGACAGGTGAGTTTCTTATTGTAAGTCTGATATTTTCCATTTTGCTTTTTGCAATGAAATGTTGCATATATCAGCACTCGAAGGTGAAAGTTAGCCACAATCATCTTCTGAGAATAATACATTTTATACTCCAAGGTTGCTGCCTAACGGGTGCCCGGTCACCTGAGGCGCCTTAGTTACGAGTTATTTTCAAGTGGTAAAAACAATGTTTTAGGAACAAGCACAAGGAGTCAGTAAAATGTTGTTTTAACACGGGAAAATAAAATTGATTTCTTCAAGCCACTGCCTGTAATTTTCCTTTTATTATATGGACAAAATGTGTTTTTGTACAAACAGCCATGAAAAAGCATCAGTATCTTCACGTCATCAATATCTTCACTGGTGAGGATATAGAAAATATGCCACTTGGGTCTTGGATGTAGTTTGGTATGAATTTTCCAAGTGGTATATTAACCATGAATCACTCAATGTATGCCAGTTTAGAGCATGGTTAACACAGAATGAAGAAGTGATGAAATGGCACTTAACAATGTGAGACACGGTAAACTCATTACTTTTAAGTCAGCGGTATGTAGGCTAACCGGAGCAATGTTTAGGCTAACCTTAGTATCATTTCATCATTTCGCCATGTCATGTCTTAATCACACCCTCCCAGTTTGACTTGTATTTGATTATAGGAGGGGTCCAGTTAAGGAATCTCCCTTGTCTAAACGATGAGTAATGTAGTCAACTGCTGTCAATAGACATTACCTACTTCATGATCTCAGCTTGGTACTCTGCTGAGCTGTTCTTCGGATTCTCTAAAAGACAATGGTAATATCAGCCACCTACTTGAACAATAAAGTCACTTGAAAACTTTGTGATAACTCTGGATAGTTAGGACTCATGTTATTGGTTAACAATGATTTTCAGGAAGAAAAAAGTGAATAAGGAAGTGCGGAAGATGCAATGTGATTGCACCTATGACGCTGGTAAGGAATTAACTTCATTCAGTTTGGGAATTGTGTAATATCTTGTTGCATTACATAATTCACAGAACCAAAAATGTACCATTTCTGTATTCCAACAAACAATGGTACAGAGTCAAATTCAGGGTGGACAAAATACTGTGTACAGGACTTGAAAAAAAGTGCCATGCGGGACAAGTAGATTTTCGTGCCAGACGAATACCTTTTCATTCTCACTTAATTACCTGTTGAGGAAGGGCCCAGGCAAGTTGTCTGCTAACTCAATAAAGAAAAAAAAAATAAGACTTGCTCAGGGCAAGCAAAATTTGTTAGCCGCTTGTTCAAAGGGTTAAGCTGGAATTCAAGTTTTTTCAAGCCCTGAGTGTATGAACGTTTCCAGCTCAACATCTTGAATGGGAAGTAATTGCCATAACATTATGATAACATTGTGCCACATCAACAGTTACATGGAAATCAATTAAAACTTGTCCACATATTGTGCAGCATTCACTTTCTGTGAGAAATTACTAGTTGCTAACTATAGGTAATCATTAGTGCCAAGTTGTTACAGTATAATAACTCTAACTCTTTTTCTAATTCACAGATGACCCTGATTCTGTTGGCTGTGGGGAAAACTGCTTGAACAGACTATTAATGATTGAATGGTTAGTTGTTCATGTTTTCTGTTTCATAAATTACCTGGTACTATTAGCCTGCATATGTTTTGTCAAATTATCGATCTTTTTGTCTTCTTCTTCCTACAGTAACAGCAGATGTGCTCGTGGGGAGATGTGTAGCAACAAGCGATTTCAACAGGTTAGAAAGCCCTTACTACTTTGTGATAGCTCCATTTGATTTTCTTGCTCACCAGTAAACTAAAGCTAAGCGGGAGGGGCATGGTTGCCCATTACAAAATTTGTGGGGTGTTTTATTGAATGTTGTGGAGGCACAATGGCCTCGTTATTGTGCTCACCTCTGGATCAAGTGGTCCAGGTTTGAGCCCAGGTTGGGGACATATTCCCAGACGGTTACTTCATGCTACAGAAACTGGAGAAGAGTTCTGACCTGATGGCCAAGTTGGCTCTTATGCAGACTTTACCTACCTTGATTGAAAATTGAAAATTGTAATTTCATTGTATGTGCCACCTTTTTCCAGGGGTGTAAAGTGAAAGTTGAAGTTTTAAAAACTGAGAAGAAAGGCTGGGGATTGAGAACTCTTGAAGATCTTGAACAGTAAGTTCCTCTTGCCATGATAATAAACTGTTTTGAATGTAAGTACAATAACAATGTACTTGTCGGCAACAATCTTTGTTATAAATGTAACTTTATAGACTGAAACACTACTGTGGGCTCCCCCTGGTAAACAGTTTGATTTTGCGATATATCTATGTATGTAGATGTTTTGTCCACCTTTTGTGTCATTTCCTGCAGTAACAGTTTTTTTTTTGTTAATATTGCTATTTAGAAATCAGTTTGTTATGGAGTATTGTGGAGAAGTAATGAACTATAAAGACTTTCAGGAGCGAGCAGAGCGTTATGACAGAGAAAACAGGAGACATTACTACTTCATGACATTGAGAGCAGATGAGGTAAATTGTAAAACATTGCTACATGTACATGCATTTGGACCACATTATCAAAATTGCAATTCTCCTTTCTAATTCCTATGCCTTTCCTGTAGTATGTACTTATGACATAGTTGGGAGAATTTAAGGAGTTTGTTAGTTGGTTTTGAACTGGTGAATTGGAATTGTTGTGAATTTGGAGCTGTAATAGCCTTACTTATTTGATATGGCTCATTATAGATTCGTTGCTGACAGTGTATTTTTATATCTTAGATCATTGATGCCACTTTTAAAGGGAACTTATCTAGGTTTATCAACCATAGTTGTGAATCAAATTGTGAAACTCAAAAGGTATGTACAGCACACAAAGGCAGATAATCAACTGAAAATTGACATCTTGGTTATTTCAGTATGCTCTTTCTATTTCGAGCAGTCTTTAAATTATGCATAATTATTCCAGAGTTACGTTTAAAATTTGTCTGGGGAAAAGGTATTAAATTAGAACTTGGTTGTTAGGCTCAGGATAAATTAATTATTTGTTGTTAATGCATTTCCTGAATATGAGAGCCTGTCAGTGGAAACTAAGGACAGAACAAGATTGTGGGGTTTTTTCTTGGATGGGATCGGGCGGGGGGACTTGAGTCACAAGGACTTTAGAGGCTTACTATTAGAAGAATAATTAACTGTTTTTATTTGTTTTTTTTCTAGTGGACTGTCAATGGCTTGTTAAGGATAGGATTTTTCACTCAGCAATTCATCCCTGCTGGGACAGAACTGACATTTGATTACAAGCTACAACGTTATGGGTGCGTGCTTGAAGAGAAGGTTTAATCCATTCATCCCAAGAGTGAACAACATCTCATTTCTCCTTACAATATCAATTACATTATTAAACAGGCAGGCGATAAGAATTAGAGAAATCGTCACCACATGTGCACATGTAGAAGGTTACTGTCTTGATATATTACGAAATTCTGAAAAGTTGTATGAAAGGAAACGTATCAAGGCATTAATGAGAATTAACACCCAAGTCGCTAGTGGAGGCAAGGTGCCTAGGAAGCCCGGGGTCTGCAACAGCAGTCACATTCCCAAGGTGCTAGAACACCCAACTGGCCTGCCCAACCTGCAACCAA